ATCACCTGAAAAACCAGATTCTTCCATAATAAGTAGTTGTCATGGCTCAACTTGACTGAGCAAAATTATCCAATACTATTTCCAATGAGGGATGTTGGTTTGCCTAAGTTTAAGATCATTTCTGAAGGTGGGTTTTCATTATCTACTAGTAGAGAAATGGTGACGGTGGCAATGGCTTAGGTACAGTGCGAATCCAGGTTCGTAGGTCAGCTAGGGCGAACGTCAACCGTTGACCGCCGCCTCACAATCCATTAGTAAAGAGAACCACACGATCGTCTCGATAGTGGTTTTGCCCCTTGGAGAAGCCGTTGCGTCCGGTCGTATGCAGCAGTGCATCGGCCCCTGTTGCTCTCTGCACAAACCAGCAGCGATCATCGAAGTCGGAGTAGCTTTTCTTCTACATGTTCTTACCAAGGCTAGAATAGGGGTGGGTGCAGCGCCGAGGTGGGGAAGGTAGAGAGAGAGAGAGGACGATGGAGAGGAAAATAAATTGATTAGGGTTTTGGAATGAAATTTTTATAATTAATATTTAATATTTAAATATGACATCTGATTTTTGAAAAATGAAATTTACTATCTAACTTTAGAATACAAGTTTTTAAAAGTAGGGCGTGGTGTAATTTTCAATTTTCAAAAAAGCAATAGCCTAATTCCCCAAAATAAAAAAAAAATGAAAAAAAAAAAACCTATCTTCTCTTGTGTGATTCTTAATTCCAAATCAGGCCTAATTTTTTAAAGGTCAACTTACAAAAATACCCTAAAAATTTGGGGTGTTTTGGATGTTTTGAAAAATCATATGAAAAAACTTTTGAAAGTAAAAAATATTGTGTAATATTGAAAAGTAAGTCAATGTCACATTTAAAAAAAAATTGTCACTTTTTAATAAAATAAAATAAAAAGTGACACAATGTCACTTTTAAAAGTTGGCATACAATATCACTTTTATTTTTTTTAAAAATGGTGTTTGCCATTAAAAAAAAACTGATATATATATAAAAAAAAAAGTGACAAATACTAAAAAAAAATGAAATATTAAAAACGTGACAAAAATCTAAAAAAATTGACAAATTTGAAAAAGTAACAAACACTCAAAAAGTAGAAATTTTTTTTTTTTTTTTAAGTGAAACACTCAAAAAATAGCAAAATTTAAATTTAAAAAAAAAGTGACAAATTTTTTTTTTTTTAAAGTGACAACTTTTGTAAAAACTGCCCTCAAGGCTTTACTCTCCGACTCCACCCAAGACAGTTTTAGCAAAGAGGAGCAAACTAAAGAAACTCAAAATAGTTAAGTTTGATTTAGAGACGAATATATGAGCATACTAAAGAAAATATTTTCAACTTCCAACTAATCAATTGATATTAAAGATTCAACAATATACGATATCAATTAAAAGAACTCTTCAATCATACACCAAAATAAGGTAACTAGCAAATCTAATGCAAATAATACATCGATTTCGGTAAAGGGGGCAAATGAACTGCAACTTCTTACAGAATAATCATAGACAGCCGTTAAAGAAAAGAGTCCAAAAAAAAAATTTGTTTCGTAATCTTTGTTTTGATTCACATCATTGCATCTATGTAATTTCTTTATAAAATTCCAGATTTACAAGTAGGGAAAGCAAAATTTAAAAGTAGGAATGAATTTTTCTTCTTCCATTTTCCACTCATTGCATCACACGAAACAAACCAAATGGGCCACGCGAAAGAAATCATCATTTCCAATACCAATTCATACCTCCAATTTTCTATTAAAATTTGAAGAAATCCCATTTTCCTGAAATGATACTTTCCAGTAATATGTAAAAATGGATGAATTCAGAAATTTGGTCACAATTCTGTCAGTAGTTTATGTTGTTAGAATGAAACAACTCTTTTGACACCTAAAATCTGTTTTTTGGATTTTTCTCACCAAGATTTACACTAAATAAATGCTATATGAGGCGCGCATCCTTATGAAAGCCGCATATTCAAACTCTCCGCTGTTTCAGGATACTACACCAAAACAAATCCAATATATATATAGATAACCTATCTTCTTCTTCCTGAACTCGTCGCCTCCATGGTTCTAACTTCTGATTTGGTTACTTCTCTGCAACTGCAAAAACTTATCCCTCGGCGCCCAGCGGCAAGTGCAACTACTTGCAGATCTAGCACGTGCAGCTGCACCCCCTCGTCGGGTGCTAGATCTGTGCCTGCTTAGGTATCAAGTTCGGAGAGTCAAGGATTTGCTAATGAGAAAATTTTGGGGAGAAGCAGCAGCAGCTCGACTAGCTACAGCAAAGGTAATAACCGTTGGAAATTTTATGTCAATTCCCTTTATTTTATTTACCCGCAGGATCTTTTGTTATTCGAGAAAATATTAGCAAAAAAGAATATAACACACAAATTAAGTGAACTGTCAAAGCCTTTCACTATATAAAAATTATTACAACCATATAGAATTTCACTCACCAACCTAATCTCCGCGTATTACAAAGAAAAATAAACTCGAGTTTTACCACACCTACTTTTCTACTCTTTGTATGAAAACTTTCAAGATGCTAGGCTCACAACATTTCTCTCTCGATTCAACTCTCAAGCCACACACGAAATAATAAATATATCCACTATTTGTAAGATCAATAATCAAGTAGAAGAGTTTAATTTCAACTCAAACAAGGACCCCTTCATGTGCAAGACTCCAAAATTCGCTGTAAAATTGGAGTCCAAATGCTACGAGGATTTTGCTCACAACTTTAATTAAAAGTCTCCCATACAATCATTACCTTTTATTATTTACAATAGAAGTACTCAAACTTTTGACTTTTGAGGCAATTACCCCACAATCTTCACCTTGCCAAAAACGAGTCAAAATCTCGTCATCTCTTCTACAACTTTTTATCACAATACTTTGAAAAAATAGGCAAGCCTTTGACACACTTTAACGATCTCATACTCTACCATATGAGTATAACCACTCAGAATCATCCGTGAACTATGAGCATTTCATCAACTACATGTCGAAATAACCCAGTCAATAGTTATGATGCAACTCTTCCACTGACTTTTCTAGAGAGCTCATCAGCCATCCACATCATAATACCACCACATACTGACACACCTTGCATCAAATGTCAGTGAATGCTATGTGCAGATATGCTGACCTGTGTCGATAAAAACACATTCTCTATCATGGTAACTGGCGACATGCCATGAGGATATTCTCATCTTACTTTACAGCACTACATCCACATCCTCCTCCACTAGAAGAGACGCATTGTCCGACCCCAAGCAGTTAGCAGACCTTGCTCCACTTTTTGGACAATTTCTCTTTATGTGACCAGTTTAATCGCAGTTCCTACAAGTTGTTTTTTTCTTCATGGAGTTGCCCTTCTTCCCATTTTCAGTCACAAATAGCGCATCATCAACTAGAATATTATGTTCCCATAATCTTCTTTTTTCTGAGATGAAGTTGCTTGTCACTTCTACGAAACTCACAGTTTCCTTTCCATATATCAAGATTGGCTTGATATGATCATAGATAGACAGAAGAGACTAGATGAGCCGTAGTGCCTTATCATCATCATCTATCTTCACTCCAATATCCTTCCGTTCTGAAATAATCCCGTTGAGATCACTCAGATGGTCTAAGATTTTCATACCTGCCTCCATGCGCAGTGAATGAAACTGCTTATTCAGGTAAAATGATTTGAGAGGCTTTTCATTTGATATAGTTCTTCTAATTTCACCTATAGTTCCTTTGCAACAAATATTCCATAAATATTTGCAAGAACGTTTTTAGGCAGACAGAGACGTATTGTGCTTCCAGCCTTCAAATCAAATTCTTCCTAATCCTCATCGCTTATATTAGATTCAGCCTCCTTACAAGAACTCTTGGTTGGTTTTGCTTTCAAAGCCTTGCGCAGTCTAACTTGAATCAATAAATCCCTAACTTGTACTTGCCACAAGCCAAAGTTGATTCTCCCGTCATATTTCAATGACAACATATTTTTATGTTGCTCCAATACTCTGAACCACCAGACATTCTGATACTTGTTGGGAATTTTACGTCAATTCTCTTTATTTCTATTTACCCACATGATCTCTTGTGGTTCAAGAGAATATTAGCAAAAAAAATATATAATACACAAATTAAACAGACCATCAAAACCTTTCATTATATGAAAATTATTCAAACCATATAGAATTTCACTCACCAATCTAATCTTCAAGTATTACAAAATAAATAAATAAATAAATAAACTCGAGCTTTACCACGCCCACTTTTCTACTCTTTGTATGAAAACTCAAGATACTAAGCTTACAATATTTCTCCCTTGAACCAACTCTCAGGCCATACACGCGAAATAATAAATACATACACTATTTGTAGGATCAATAATCCAATAAAAGAGTTCAATTTCAACTCAAACAAGGACTCCTTCATGTGCAAGACTTCCAAACAGGCTGTAAAATTGGAAACCAAATACTGCAAGGATTTTGCTCTCAACTTTAATTAGAAGTCTTCCATATAATCATTACTTTTTATTATTTGCAATAGAAATCCTCCAACTTTTGACTTTTGAGACCATTACCCAACAATAACTTAGCATCTGTTTGGGAAATATTTTTAGGAAATTAATTGAAAATCAAACTTTAATTTCAATTACACGTTCAATACTAATCCCGATTATTATCCAGACATTTTGTCATTTTAGCCACTATTTCTCCTAAAAAGTTACTAATAATCATTCTCGAATAGGGGTTTTGCAGTTGTGTCCCTACTCTTAACTTTACAACTATGAATCTATGATCCATCATGCACATGTCTTCTAATGAATGGAAGAAGTACACAAGTAAAATTAAGGCTTTGATATTTTCCTTAACAAGTAGAAGTTCAACGAAGTCAAGATTCAAGAAACAGATTACATTAATCACAGTATTTGTTCATATATATTATACATTATATAGTTACACGGATATAAACTTTCTGTTACTGACGTTACATATTAATTTCATCAAACAGCATTCCGAATAGAAGCACTATATCCAGATTGATCATCATAATACTTAGACCAAAGCATTACACCTCCATACTTAGCAGAACCCTTAATGGCTGGAAGCACTAGTGAAGTAAGATCACTTGCAGGCACAAATCCACTACCTGCAGCCTCAGGAGAAGCAGGTAAACCCAAGAAAATCTTACTGGCTGGGATTGAATTCCATTGTTTCCATGCTTCCTCAAGATTGTTCATCCCAGAAGAGTATTGACAAGGAGGATTGTTATAAAATTGTACCCAAACAATGTCGAAAAGTCCGGTATTAAGGGCATTTCCAATCCATGCATCAGGGAAGGGACACTGAGGTGCTGCTGTTAAGTACACTTTCTTGCCCTTCTTGCTATATGCGGAAAGATATCGCGCTAAATCATCCCAATGTTGATTCGTCCCTCCTTCGATGTCAAAATCAATTCCATCCAAGACCGCGTCCCCAAGAGGACGAGAAGATGACTTTCCGCCCAAGAAATTGTTCCACAAATAGGTTGCCACCTGTCGAGCATCCTCGGACGAAGTAAGGTAATAACTCCCGGCCCCTCCACCTATCGAAAGCATGACCTTTATCCCTTCGGCTTGACAGGATTTAATGTCGACGCTTAAATTAGTACAACCATTTGTGTAAGGGTCACAGTGTCCAGCAAGATTGATCATGGGAGTCTGGCCATTTCCAAATGTTGGAAGAAATGCTAAGTTTACAAAATCATAGTCTTTTTTAGCACAAGTTTCTGCTAATGTGCCTTCGTTTCCGTTTTGGCCCCAGTAGATTGCGATTTTTCCGGCGTCGGAACACAAAAGCATGAGGGACAAAGAGAATAATGCAAGTAGAATTGCTAGTTGATGAGAAGCCATAGTCAGTTAAAGAGGAGTTTCTTCACTTCTGGCAGGCTTTGGTTGGAAATATTCAAAAAAATGGAAGTATATATAGGAGACTATCTCGTGGATATTGACAATTGCTATAGGCTGATGCACGATTCAATAGTTAGTTTTAATACTATATATTTGGTTTTTTAGCGTACACGGGCTGCTACTACGTCTAGTACTTTTCTTCTTGTCCAGTGTCTATTCAGACACGATCTACGAGACAACTCTGTAACAGTCCATGGACTTTAGACTTTAAATTTGGCCTCGTCATTGAAGAATAGTGGGGTTTTCTTGTATTTTTGTTCTCTTTCCTATATGAATAATACTATTTTCCAATCATATCCGTGACATTACAAATACGTTAAGCTCTAAACAAATTTAATGTATTCAAAATTAATTAATCCCGACTTGTTAACAAAAAGCTTTCTCCGACTTCCATATTGGATCGCTGCCGATTCAAGTTTAGATGATTGTAGTCAAAAGGCGAGCATACAATTCAATCTCGTTCCTAAGACTACGTTCGCAGGTTCCTCTTTCGAGTGTAGTTGGCTCTTCCAGGTCAAGTGCATGTGACGGTTAAGGTTCTACAAGAGCTCGACTGAAAGGGGATAGGGAGGAAAACTCGGCGGTTGGGAATAGAATTTAGACTAGTTAATATAAAAGACAAGGTAGTTCAAATAATTTTCGGTATTGGATTTTTCTTTTTTTAATTTTGGGTTTATCAATATAAACAAAAGAGTGTGCGTATAATGAATATTATATTTATTAATGTACAAAAATAACAAAGATGTTAATCATAACTGACAAAAGGCTCAATTTAACTCCGAATCTTGAGGTATAATTAAGCCCTCGTTTGGTAACAATTTTTTATCCTAGGAAATTAATTTTTTTACCATTATTTTATTATTATAGCCGTTAGTTTTTATTTCTTCACTCACAAATGAGATCCATTTTTTCTCTAACGATCAAAAAATTA